CCAACGGGTCTGAGGGACAGGGAATTGGCCCCCTGTTTAAAAAGTTTGAGGACCCTGTTTTACACAGTTGTAATCCACACTGAAGGTTGCAGTCCTTGATTTGCATCAGCACGTGCTTCAAGTCCTCCTCCCTTTCAGCAGGCATGGTATGTCATCTGCATACTGCAGGTTTTAGTTAATAAAAGCCTTTTCCAACACCTAATGCTGCATTCTTCTTCATATACTACAGTTAATCTGATGATCTGCCCGGCATACAGAATGAGTAAGTATGATGAGAAGACACAACCCTAATGCCCACTTTTTCTTATTTTAACCCCTGCAGTATTCCCTTGTTCTGTTCACACAACTGTCTATTTATTGATCCATGTACAAGGTACACACAAGCACAATTAGATGTTCTGGAATTCCCATTCTTCTCAACACTAGCCATAGTTAGTTATGATCCACAAAGTCAAATGTCTTTGCATAGTTAATAAAACACAAGTAAACATCTTTGCCCAGAGTTCAAGATATTTTTGTTTAGCATAAAACAGGCAGTTAAATTAAAAGCATGCCCTTAATCTCAAATATTCCCAGTAAGGCTACTATTATTTGAAATATTTTGTATTTGTAAGTATTTCATGAGATGGAATGATTGTCAGTTTCACCAGAATAAAATAATAGTGGTTATTTCATGACCTATATTCTGATTGCTTTTCACATAATACATGTCAATCTTTTCCAAAGCCAGGCATATTCTTCTGTAACAGTTAACACTTTCACTGTAGCCTCATTCTATTTTCTGATAAATATTGTTATTCATTGCTATTCTAATGATCCTACCGTACTCCTTAGAAAAATACCCAAAAAATGAATACCTAACTGTAACTAATTAAAAATCACTTCACTCCTTATCTGTGGTAACTATTGCATGTCCTTGAACCTAATGCTCTAAACAAGTCCAAATAAACACATACTCTAATACTCAACTTTGCATCCTTGACTTTAAGACTTTAGCTGGGGTGGTGGTGGTGGTGTGTGTGTGGAGGGTGGGGGCTCATTCTCAGTGCTGATACTCCTAAAGTTCTTTTCTAAGCAATGGGGTAACTGGAGTGTTTGACATCCACAGAATAGGGCATCTCAGAAGAATAGAGTATGTTTCTAATCCTAAAAGGATAAAGGAAGGAAATAATTTGTATTTGCTTCCTTGAGTGGCACACAGAATGACCTGGAGTTTTTATTATAATGTTCCACAGATGCAGGCACCCTCTCCTAACAGAGAGCAGTGCCTTTCTGATTGAGCTTTTGTTCGAGTTTAATTGGACTCCAAATGAATGACGCAAAAAGGCTTAAGAAGATGCGGACAAATCATTTTGGGGCTGATAGATAATAAAACTGATATATATTAAGGCGGCATATGTACTCTTTCTGATTCTTGTTTCAACAATTGAGAACTCTTTCTATTTAGAGCTATAGTCATCATCCTCAAAGATGGTAAGAAAAACATGGAAAGAAACCTCAGTCTACATGAAAATAAAGGGTACAGTACCGGCAACAATAATATTCAGTACACTTATGGACACATGAACACACTAGGGAGGACAGTAAAATAGTCACTCATTTTTCCTTTTACTTTGTCTTATTTTCAGTGAAGCACATACATGTGTATGAAAGAGATGGGCATGGAAGAGTCTCTGACCATGTGTAGGAGGCCATGTGTGAATGGGGTGATTTCTATATTAAGTTTGAAAAATAAGACCAAATTGAAACTAAACAACAGGGAGATCTTCTGGGGCGTTGGAGTGGGGACTAATGTTTTGTTTTTCAACTAACTCGCTCAAAATTTCAAAAAAATAGTTATCATGAGCCTGTTGAACCTCAAGATCCTATGAGCACCATACAGCTTGCACTGAAGATGTCTTTTTCCAGTTTCCCAAGCCACTGCCAGCCAGCTGGATCTGGAGAGGACTGTTTTGAGCCCTGGGGGAATGGCGTGAACCTGCTGAAAACATACGAGGCACAGGGAAGGGGGTGCCGTGTGAGGAGAGCTGACCTACAGCCCCATGTTTGACCGAGGCATTCAGTCAGCATCCAGAATGGACAGGTGTGGACTCATCTGAAAGCAATTCACAAAAGACCTGGGGACACTGGTCTGGATTTTAAAATGATAAAATAGAGATCTCCATAGAGATTTTTTCCAAATAATGGAAGAGAAGTATTGAGTTATTAATAGAAAAAGCATCAAGATTTTAAAGGAACAGAAGGTGACAATGGCCTCCATTGACAAAAAAAAAAAAAAAAGAGGAAAAAGTTCTGAAAAGAGAAAACGTATGACAAACTCAAACCTCAAACTTAAACTCTTCTGCCAATGCACTGACTGTGATTCACGCCAACCCTGTAGGACAGGGTAGAACTGCCCCTTGGTTTTCTGAGGCTGTAAGTCTATAGGAGCAGGAAGTCCTGTCTTTCTCATGAATGTAAAAGAGGTTACAGGAAAATAAGAAACAAAAACACGGTGGAATTAGAACCCAAAGTTGAAAGCAGTAAATAGTAAAGTATAGCCCAAAAGACTGGGTAAATCATTTCAATCAGAGACTATGTCTAGAATATCACATCATAGACAAGTTGTTAGAATATTTAGATATTATCATATGGGTTGGTTAACAACCACTTTCCACTACCATCCTTCCCAAACCATGCCCTCTTGTGGCTTCCTTAAGATTTAGCACCTAAATCTCATTCTTGGACAGGGACACTAGGACCCTGAGCCAGCACTGTGACCAGGGTTTGTTCTGGATGTCCTGTGCCACGTTGGCTGCCAAATGAAACTATTTTTAATATCATCCTTTGTCTCTAATCAGCAATCCGGAGAGAAATCAAATGTAGCAAATATAATAAAACAAAGAAAGCTCGTTATGTTCTGGGTGAAGGTAATGAAAGAAGATTAAACTTAGAGGTCAAGCACGTGATTCAAAAATCAAAAAGGACTGAAATGGGCTGGCCAAATGCCACAAATGTGAAAGGATGTCCTGGTTTGTTTGTTTGGTTATTGCTTGCTTTTCTTAAACGAAAATCAATGACCAGTCCCTTGGCTAGATGGAATAGATATGAGTACTGTGGTATGCCACCCAAATAGCCCTTTAGGACCAAGACAATTTTTTCTTTACCTGGGGGTGCCTGATGGCTCAGAACTATCTCCCTCTCCAGGAATTGCCCTTCATCTAAAAGAGCTTCCTTGCAGAAGGATACACTACATCTCCCTCCCAACCCACAACTAAGCCTGGTCCCCTAGAATCAATTCAGGCCAACTCTAGAGAGTCTCTGGAGTTACACCTGGGGACAGATGGAAGCTTTGTTGCAGCCACACCAGTGCTCATTCTGCCCAATTCATCAGTGTTTCCAGGTACGCCAACCAACTAAATTCTCCCCCACCCTACTTTTATGGGGGGGCTCTTTTAGCTCTTATCACAATCCATACATTCATCCAGTGTGTCAAGCACATTTGCACATATGCCGCCATCCTCATTTTCAAAGCATTCTCTTCCCACTTGAGTTCCTGATATCAGCTCCCCATTTCTCCCCCCTCCCTCCCCTCCCTCACGAACTCTTGATATGTTATGGGTTATTATTTTCATAAATTACATCATCCTCTGTCGACTCTCACCCACTTTTTGATTATTCATCCCACTGGGAGGGGGTTATATATTGATCCTTGTGATCAATTACTGCTTTCTCCCCCCCCCCACCCCCCCCAATCCTCCTAGTATCTCTATGCTCACTGATGGCCCTGAGGGGTTCTATCCTGGATTCCCTGTGTTGTGGGCTCTTATCTGTAGCAGCGTGCATGCTCTGGTCTAATCCATTTGTAAGGTAGAATTGAGCTTATAATAGTGGGGTGGGGGGAGGAAGCACTAAAGAACCAGAGGAAAGTTGTGTGTTTCATTGGTGTTATATTGTATCCTGACTGGCTCATCTCTTCCCTATGACCCCTCTGTGAGGGGATGTCCAATTGTCTACAGATGTGCATTGGGTCTCCACTCCATGCTGCTGCTGCCCTTCCCTCCCCTCCCCAATTCACATTGGATATGATTTTATTCTGGGTCTTAGATGCCTGATACCTGATCCCATCAATACCTCATGATCACATAGGCTGGTGTGCTTCTTCCATGTGGGCTATGTTGCTTCTTAGCTAGATGGTCACTTGTTTATCTTCAAGCCTTTAAGACCCCATATATTATAGCTCTTGATAGCCAGGCACCATCAGCTTTCTTTACCACATTTGTTTATGCACCCACTTTGTCTTCAGCGATCGTGTCGGGAAGGTGAGCATCACAGAATGCCAGATTGTTAGACCAAAATGCTCTTGTGTTGAGGGAGTACTAGAGTCGAGGCCCAATGCCCATCTGAAACCTTAATCCTTAATATAAAGATAAGAGTACATAGTTTTATTCTCCTCTCATTATGTATACACATTTACATATGTAAATGACTGTATTTATACCTCTATAAATGTCCTTTGCCTCCTGGTTCTTTCCTCTACTTCCTTTTACTTTCTTCTTGTCCCACCATCATGCTCAGCCATCATTTGGGTTTAGTAATTTCTCGCTGCTACATTGCTCTTGATTAAGCCCCACTAGGCATCCTACACCCTTATTTCCATTGATTTTAGTTCACTTGTTCCCTTGTCCCTGGGTTGGTCCCCCACCCCTGTCCCCCACCTTCCTTTCTCCCACATCCTTCTCCCATATCCCCCCCAGAACCATTGGTCCTGTTCTTTTCATCTCCAAATTATTTATCCCCTCTATCTTATCTAGATAGTCATGCAGATACATTACTAAGTTAAAAAACCAGGCAAAGCCAAATAAAACAACAAAGGAATTAAAAACTAACAAAATAACAAAAAACAAAAGCAAAATAAAAATAACAAAAAGAAAGCCACTGACAAAAATGGAAAAGCCAATCAATAGTCTAAAGTTATCTTGAATTATTTAGAGACTATTATATAGCTATGTGTGTTAGGCTGTAATTTTTCTACAGCTGAACATCACATGTTTATCCGGAACAATAAGTAAAAAATCAACCACAGCTAGTTTGTCTTTCATGTTCAAGTGACCGCTGTGCTGCAGCGAAGTTTTGACCCCTGAGCGTCGGTAGTAGCAGACATCAATCACAGGAGGGGACAGGGTTACCTCTGGCTTCATGTGAGGGCCTCAGTTCACTTTCCGTTCTCTCTTCAGAGTCTTCTTTGACAGGAACGTCATCAACATGCTGATACCTGACAAAACATTTTTTTCAAGAGTTATCATTTTAAAAATTGTTTTGAAACTACTTTGCAATGATGGTTTCTCTTAGTTTCAAAATAAACAACAACTAAAATATTAGAAATAATGTACAGTTCTAGGAAGGCAACTAACCTGATAAAATCTACAAATGCCTATTTTCTTCAAGGTCAATTTTTAAATACTCTATCTGGAAAGAGTTTTAAACAGAACAATATTAATATAAACTCTCTGTCAAAAAAAATAAGAGCTTCACATAAGGACAGATATACATGAACAGCTCTACACATACTATTCTGTATTTAATAAGAAAAAAAAAGATTTGAAAATGAACATCATTTATGGTGTCCTGTATGAGGGGGACTCAAAAAGTTCATGAGAAAATTCTATACT